TATGTGCAGGATGTTCTCTAAGTTCTTTTCTTACATAGTAAAATATAAATCAAGAAGAGATTTGGACGTTTCACTCAAAGTGAAATATTGCAGATGAGCTCTGTGGTTAGATACGCTATGTTGTCCAATACAGTAGTTTTTAGGCAAATGTAGTTATTTAAATTAATCAATTAAAGTTAAGCAAAATTTAAAATTCAGTTTCTCAGGTAGATACATAAGTCACATTTTAAATCATTCAAGAGTATCATATTTATTAACACAAAAATCTTATCAAAGTTTGTGTTTAAATGATGTTTTATAATTGTTTTTCTCAAAAAGGCAATGATCTTTTTGGAAAATAGTTGTGTTCCAAATTAAAATTGTAAAAACATCAAGCTATGCATCAAAGACAAGTTTCCAGTTGTCAAGTAGAGTGTTGTGCACTATTTCCTAATGAAGTCATAGCAAGAGAGTTAATTTATTTTCAGTAGTAGCTTGTTCATTATTGCATTATTAATATTTATCAAGGTACCTGATGAAAACTGAACAAAGTTTTATTAAATGTTAAATGGATAAATGGATACATTGAAAGAATAAATAAATGAACACATTTTTTTTCTTCTTTGAGAGTCAGTCAAACGCACAGAAGCAGGAAGTCATCTGCTGGTAAAGAGATCACTGATGTCACCTACTACTTTTGTTTTCCACCCACAATTTCCAGGGAAGGAATAGAATATTTGGAATATAAAATATCAAGAAACCTTAAAGATAGTTTGAATGAGCCTTAAAGAAAGTGCTGTTCAACTTTCCTTTCTCCTGCCCCTGCGTCCCCTTTCTCTTTTCCTTCCTTCCTTCCTTCCTTCCTTCCTTCCTTCCTTCCTTCCTTCCTTCCTTCCTTCCTTTCTTTCTTTCTTTCTTTCTTTCTTTCTTTCTTTCTTTCTTTCTTTCTTTCTTTCTTTCTTTCTCTCTGTCTCTCCCTCCCTCTCTCCCTCCCTTCCTTCCTTCCTTCTTCTTCCTTCCTTCCTTCCTTTCTTCAGGTGTGGACAAAAATATAGACAGGTTCACACAGCTCATCAACAGCAGACCAGGACTAGAACACAGGTTTTATATCAGAGGAAATAAAGTATGATTCCTTTTATTGATTGCAATTCAACATTTAAAAACACTACTTAAAGTTATAATAGAGTGAAGCTCTTGTATCTTAAGATATCACTGTATCACTATAGTGATTACAATTTCAGAAATAATTAAGTGGATCAATGAAATAATTTATTCCAAAATAAGAATTTATGAGGCATCAGAAAGTCAGGTTCCACTCAAGTTCATAGAGAAATTCAGGGTCATATTAAGGCAGCTACTTAGAACAGGAAAAATGTTTAGATGAGCAGTTCATGATCACAGTAGAGGATTAGAGAAAAGTACTAAAATGTACCATACTATCTTATTTCTTTACACTTCGTTTTTGCATTATATTTAAATATTCTGATCTTTAATGTTGATGTGTGTTCTTTTAATTATTCATGATGTGAAAATATGGATGACTCTTAGACAACTATATTTATGACAGAAGTTAATCATACTTTCATAACTGTGGTTCACACCTCAGTTGGTGATAGTGATACATAATTTTAAACACTGTATCTAAGAGGAGGTAAATTGGGCTTGTGATCCTAAATTCATAAAATGAGCACAATAATTTCAAAGAGGGAAAATTATTCTCGTCTTTTGCAAATACTTACGTAAGAACCAGAATATTGAGAAAAATGGTAGTATCATGGCAGAGTGAGCCATCTGAACATAAGAAACAGCCATTTTCCTGACATGTTATTTTTCATTCATGCAATTACCACTTGGAATAAAGGTGTATACTCTGTGATTTTTTTAAAATTTATTTATTTGTCTGCATCGGGTCTTAGCTATGGCACACAGGATCTTCGTTGAGGCAGGCAGGATCTTTTTTGTGATGTGGGCTCTTCATTGTGGCATGTGGGCTTCTCTCTAGTTGTGGCATGTGGGATTTCTCTTCTCTAGTTGTGGCATGTGGGCTCCAGAGAGCATGGGCTCTGTAGTTTGCAGCACGTGGGCTCTCTAGTTGAAGCATGAGAGCTCAGTAGTTGTGGCACGTGGGCTTAGTTGCCCCGCAGCAGGTGGGATCTTAGTTCCCCGACCAGGGATCAACCCACATCCCCTGCATTGGAAGGTGGATTCTTTATCACTGGACCACCAGGGAAGTCCCTAAAGGTGTATACTTTGAAGTTGGATCGAATTACTATAATAGAAGGCAATTCAAAGGACTAGCTATTCATCCCAAAGTAAGTATTGGAGAGAACTAAGAAATACTAGAGAGTGACTTACATCAACTGGTTAAAAGTAACCAGTTAAATTCTAGGGTGATGACAGGAGAAAGTAGGCTTTTGTGCAGCAAGTTAATAGGTAGATTAAAAGTTACAGGATGCCTTATTAGAAGAAATAGTGCTGGTACCATGATGAGTTTAAGCCTTTGGAGGCAGAAATTTAACCAGGAGAAAGAATCTTTAAATAACCAAGTATTGTCTGCTTATACTAGAGAGATCCCATGGTAAAAAGTAATGGGAGGTGGCCCAAGTTTGGATCATCTGACTTGTTATGCAGGAGTGAGGATCCTAAAAGGTACAAACTGGTGCAAAAGCAAATCATTAATTTTAATCCCTGTTTGGTGGGGAGGCTGATGCATGAATGCCTAGAATCCTCTCCTTGCCAGAGACTGGTTTGCACGAGGGCAGAGGAAAGTGAGACAGGTCCCACTGGTATTTCAATGAGACCAAGATGTCATAAAATAAGGATCTTCTGCCCAAAGTGGCAAACTGAGCTGTGTCATAACAAGCCACAGGAAGAACCATCTCATCCATATTCCAGTATATATTTCTTGACATTATGATTCAATTTTTTAAGCACTTAAAATCAATTTTATTGAAGTAGAATTTTTTTTTCACTTGACACTCATATTTTATAATTGATGAACTTACATTGGTACGTTATTACCCAAAGTCCTAGTTTACACTAGGGCTCATCCTTGGTTTTATACATTCTATGGGTTTGGAAAAATGTATAGTGACATGCATCCATCATTATAATATTACACAGAACTGTTTCACTGCCCTAAAAATCCTCTGTGCTCCACCTATTGATCCCTTCTTCCCCTTCACTCCTGGAAACCACTGATCTTTTTATTGTCTCATAGTTTGTCCTTTCCCAGAATGTCATATGGTTGGAATAATGCAGTATTGTATCCTTTTCAGAATGTCTTCTTTCACTTAGTTATATGCATTTAAGTTTCCTCCATGTCTTTTTATGTCTTGATAGCTCATTTCTTTTCAGTTCTGAATTGTCTAAATGTATCACTGTTTAATCATCCCTTCACCTACTGAAGGACATCTTGGTTGCTTCTAAGTTTTGGCTATTATGAATAAAGCTGTTATAAACATCTGTGTGAAGGTTTCTGTGTGGTTTGGGTGAAAACACCAAGGAGCATGATTGCTGGATCATATAGTAAGAGTAAATCTAGTTTTGTAAGAAACCGCCAAATTGTCTTACAAAGTGGCTGTACCATTTTACATTCCCCCCAACAATGAATGAAAGTTCCTGTTACTCCACTTCCTAACCACCATTTGATGTTGTCAGTGATCTAAATTTTTTCCATTCTAATAGACATGTAGTAGTATCTCATTGTTGTTTTAATTTGCATTATGATTCAATTCTCAGTGTCCTCTAGCTTAAGAATATTTCCAAAAGTTAGAAGTGAGCAGAGTGATAATGTCTCTAATCTGTAATACATTCTCTAGGATGCTTTGGATTGTTAGCTATTGGAAAATGATACCATGAGATATAGATAGGCTCCCAAATTTCAAAATGAGAATTAGAGTATGCTACAACCATGAAGAAAATACACTGATGATATTAAATTTTCTGAGCTTGTTTCCAAATGGTAAATTTACCAAGAATGCCAATATAAGCAAAGGACTATCATTGGTGTGAAATCTTATATGACTTACATTTCCATCTAATTAAATATGTAAATATAAATGAGAAATATGAATTCATTTAATAAGTTTTTGTCTCAATATAGGATTCTGAATATTTGGATTTTGAAGATAATTATATCTTCAAATGATTTATTTTGTTTATTGTTTTTATATTTATTGTTTTACTCACTTCACAGGTAAACTTTTACTAAGCATGTTCTTGAAATGTTGCCTGTTTGAACTTTTACTATAACTTCTTGTCTGCTCCTAAATCTTACACTTTAAGGATAAAGAACTGAAAACAAAACCCCACAGGTGATTCCCTGATGTTTATTTTGAAACATAATATGTTGCTATATTCTCGTCACTAAATAAAAAGCAGAACTGAACAAAAATTGGAATTCCTTAAGTTATGTCTCCAACCGAAAGTCAAAGTATACCAACATTGTACAGAACTGTATGGATTGCCAATAATTTAGTGTTAGTTATCCACCTTGTTTCTCCAACACACGGATCATACCACTTATTAATCTTTACAGACTGATAGGTAAAGATAAAGTGAAAGGTTGGCAGCAAGCAGAAGCCTTACCACCAAATCTTTATTCTCATTATCATGACCCTTCAATTACTCATTTAACATTTTATATTTCAAACTCAATGCTATGCCTCAACCTGATACTATTTAAAAATCTTCCAAATCATGAAATAATTTGCATTTGAGGTAAAGGACATACATATTTTATGACTGCACCTGAAATATCATCATGGAAATTAAAAAAAATTATCTATTTTAATTTCAACTAAAGAGCATGGTTTGCTCAAGTAACCTTGTGAATTTGAAGTTCATTTAATTAAAAATTTTTCCCCAGAGTCAAGATAAAAACACTGAGAATACACATTGACCATTTTCTGATTTTAGCCACATTAGGGATCAAAATATTTTGCTCACACAAGTGATACAAAGTCATTTCAGATAGCAAATTAGAGTTTTACTTATGTAGATGTGGAATTGCGACTTACCCCTGTCTGTGTCATACAGGAAGACAAAACAGTTCCATTCATAGTGATCCAGCAGACTCAAGAGTGCTCCTCGTAAGGAAGGCCTTAGCTGCAGCACAAACTGGCTCTCCCCCTCAGTAGGGAAACTTGGTGTGATGAGGGAGATGTGTAAGGCGCTGCAGAATGAGGTCAAGGTATGTACTGACCTTTTATCATAGAGTCCAAAAATGGCAAATACTCCTCTAGAATACTGGGAACAGACTGAAACAAAAACAAACAAAAAAACCCATAAACTATTAGCACACTCTAAAACTGTTGACTCCACATCTATAGTTTATGAAACAAACAAAATCTCTGAGTCATTGATATGTCAGGAATATAATATAAGGAAAGAGTAAAAGTGAAGTGTGCAATTATTTGTATAATCAATTAGTGAAATGTTAAGCTTGTCCTCAAAGCCCTGCACTAAATGAGATAACAAGGGGTTTTCTCAAGAAACCAATCTGAATTAAGAAAAATTTGACTAAAATGAAGTAATATATAACATTCCACGATAATGTGACAAATCCTATGCTAGAGACTTTTAGGGGTGACCATAAGAAGCCTAGGGTGTTGGGTAATCTAGAGGTATTTATCTTAGGAGTAGTTCCTTGTGAAACAAAGAAATTAGATTTTTCTTTGTTAAAGCAGTTATAGTTTCTTGAAAAAAATTAACTGTCCTGATAACATTTATATCTATATTCTATATCTGGGTTTTAGGAAATTATGAAGCATAATTAAATAAGATAAATTAATAAAATCTGGAGGTATTTTGTTTATTCTTTTTTATTGTGCCTCTTGAAACTGGAGAGAGAGTCTAAGAAATTTAATTAAATAAGAAGAGGGTAACAATTAACAGAAAATAAATTGCTACTGGTTTTCTTTAGATGATGTGCTGTAAGAGATACACACATGTTCTGGAAAAAGTAAAGCCCAATTAAGGGACCAGAGTTTACATTCATAAAAAAAAGACTAAGAATTGACATTAAGATATAGGGGAAGCTTACCTGGCTCTTTGGTGGGGCTAATGGCAGACACTGGGAGGGCTCACGCCAAGTAGTACTTCCCAGAACTTCTGCTGCCAGTGTCCTTGTCCCTGCAGTGAGCCACAGTCACCCCCCATCTGCAGGAGACCCTTGAGCACTAGCAGCCAAGTGACTGACAGAGTCTTGGTGCTCCGGCCGGGTGTCAGGCCTGAACCCCTTAGGTGGGAAAGCCAAGTTCAAAACATTGGTTCACCAGAGACCTCCAGGTCCCACATAATATCAAATGGTGAACACACTCCCAGAGATCTCCATATCAACACTAAGACCCAGCTCCACTCAACGACCAACAAGCTACATGGCTGCACAACCCATGCCAAACAACTAGCAAGACAGGAACACAACCCCACCCATTAGCAGATAGGCTGCCTAAAATCATAATAAATTCACAGACACCCCAAAACACAGCACCAGACATGGTCCTGCCCACCAGAAGACAAGATCCAGCCTCATCCACCAGAACACAGGCATCAGTCCTCTCCACCAGGAGTCTACACAACCCACTGAACCAACCTTAGCCACTGGGGGCAGACACCAAAAACAATGAGAACTACGAACCTGAAGCCTGTGAAAAGGAGACCCCAAATGCAGTAAGTTAAGCAGAATGAGAAGACAGAGAAATACACAGCAGATGAAGGAGCAAGGTAAAAACCCACCAGACCAAACAAATGAGGAGGAAATAGGCAGTCTACCTGAAAAATAATTCAGAATAATGATAGTAAAGATGATCCAAAATCTTGGATATAGAAGGAAGAAAATACAAGAAACGTTTAACAGGGACCTAGAAGAACTAAAGAGCAAACAAAAAATGATGAACAACCCAATAGATGAAAATAAAAATACTCTAGAAGGAATTAATAGCAGAATAACTGAGGCAGAAGAATGGATAAGTGACCTGTAAGATAAAATAGTGGAAATAACTACAACAGAGCAGAATAAAGAAAAAAGAAGGAAAAGACTTGAGAACAGTCTCAGAGACCTTTGGGACAACATTTAATGCACCAACCTTCGAATTATAGGGGTCCCAGAAGAAGAATTGAAAAAGAAAGGGACTGAGAAAATACTTGAAGAGATTATAGTTGAAAACATCCCTAATATGGGAAAGGAAATAGTCAATCAAGTACAGGAAGCACAGAGAGTCCCATACAGGATAAATCCATGGAGAAACATGGCAAGACACATATTAAACTATCAAAAATTAAATTGAAAGAAAAAAATATTAAAAGCAGCAAGGGAAAAGCAACAAATAACATACGAGGGAATCCCTATATGGTTAACAGCTGAATTCTCAGAAGAAATTCTGCAAGCCAGAAGGGTGTGGCAGGACATATTTAAAGTGATGAAAGGGAAAAACCTACAATTAAGATTACTCTACCCAGTAAGGATTTGATTCAGGTTCGATGGAGAAATTAAAAACTTTACAGAAAAGCAAAAGCTAAGAGAATTCAGCACCACCAAACCAGCTTTACAGCAAACAGTAAAGGAACTTCTCTAGGCAGGAAACACAAGAGAAGGAGTGGACCTGCAATAACAAACCCAAAACAATTAAGAAAATGGTAATAGGAACATACATATTGCTCATTACCTTAAATGTAAATAGATTAAACGCTCCAACCAAAAGACATAGACTGGCTGAATGGATACAAAAACAAGACCTGTATGTATGCTGTCTACAAGAGACCCATTTCATACCTAGGGAAACATACAGACTGAAAGTGAGGGGATGGAAAAAGATATTTCATGCAAAAGGAAATCAAAAGAAAGCTGGAGTAACAATTCTCATATCAGACAAAATAGACTTTAATATAAAGAATGTTATAAGAGACAAAGAAGGACACTACATAATGATCAGGGGATGAAACCAAGAAGAAGATATAACAATTGTAAATATTAATGCACTCAACATAGGAGCACCTCAATATGTAAGGCAAATATTAACAGCCATAAAAGGGGAAATTGACAGTAACAGAGTCATAGTAGGGGAATTAACACCCCACTTTCAGCAATGGACAGATCATCCAAAATGAAAATAAATAAGGAAACACAAGCTTTAAATGATACATTAAACAAGATGGACTTAACTGGTATTTATAGGACATTCCAACCAAAAACAACAGAGTACACTTTCTTCTCAAGTGATCATGGAACATTCTCCAGGATAGATCATATCTTGGTTCACAAATCAAGCCTTGGTAAATTTAAGAAAATTGAAATCATATCAAATATCTTTTCAGACCACCACACTATGAGGCTAGATATTAATTACAGGAAAATATCTGTAAGAAGTACAAGCACATGGAGGCTAAATAATACACTACTAAATAACCAAGAAATCACTGAAGAAATCAAAGAGGAAATAAAAAAAATACCTGGAAACAAATGACAATGAAAACACGACGACCCAAAACTTATGGGATGCAGCAAAAGCAGTTCTAAGAGAGAAGTTTATAGCAATACAATCCTAACTCAGGAAACAAAAACATCTCAAATGAACAATCTAATCTTACAACAAAGCAATTAGAGAAAGAAGAACAAAAAACCCCCAAAGTTAACAGAAGGAAAGAGATCATAAAAAACTGATCAGAAATAAATGAAAAAGATATGAAGGAAACAATAGCAAAGATCAATAAAACTAAAAGCTGGTTCTTTGAGAAGATAAACAAAATTGATAAACCATTAACCGGACTCATCAAGAAAAAAGGGAAAAGACTCAAATCAATAGAATTAGAAATGAAAAAGGAGAAGTAGCAACTGACACTGCAGGAATACAAAGTATCATGAGAGATTACTAGAAACAAAGATAGGCCCAAAAATGGACAACCTGGAAGAAGTGGACAAATTATTAGAAAAGCACAACCTTCCGAGACTGAACCAGGAAGAAATAGAAAATATGAACAGACCAATCACAAGCACTGAAATTGAAACTGTGATGAAAAATCTTCCAACAAACAAAAGCCCAGGACCAGATGGCTTCACAGGTGAATTCTATCAAACAATTAGAGAAGAGCTAACACCTATCCTTCTCAAACTGTTCCAAAATACAGCAGAGGGAGGAACACATCCAAACTCATTCTAGGAGGCCACCAGCACCTTGATATCAAAACCAGACAAAGATAACACAAAAAGAGAAAACTATAGGCCAATATCACTGATGAATATAGATGCAAAAATCCTCAACAAAATACTAGCAAACCAAAACCAATAGCACATGAAAAGGATCATACACCATGATGAAGTGGGATTTATGCCAGGAATGCAAGGATTCTTCAGTATACACAAGTCAATCAAAGTGATATACCATATTAACATATTGAAGGATAAAAACCATATGATAATCTCAGTAGATGCAGAAAAAACATTTGACAAAATTCAACACCCATTTATGAAAGAAACTCTCTGAAAAGTAGGTATAGAGGGAACTTAACTCAACATAATAAAGGACATATATGACAAACCCACAGCCAACATCATCCTCAATGGTGAAAAACTGAAGCCATTTCCACTAACTTCAGGAACAAGACAAGGTTGCCCACTCTCACCACTATTATTCAACATAGTTTTGGAAGCTTTAGTCACAACAATCAGAGAAGAAAAAGAAATAAAATGAATCCAAATATGAAGGGAAGAAGTAAAACTGTCACTGTTTGCAGATGACCTGGTACTATACATAGAGAATCCTAAAGATGCTACTGGAAAACTACTAGAGCTAATCAATGAATTTGGTAATGTAGCAGGATACAAAATTAATGCACAGAAACATATGGCATTCCTATACACTAATGATAAATAATGTGAAATAGAAATTAAGGAGACACTCCCATTTACCACTGCAACAAAAAGAATAAAATACCAAAGAATAAACCTACTTAAGGAGACAAAAGACCTGTATGAAGAAAACTATAAGACACTGATGACAGAAACTAAAGATCATACAAACAGATGAAGAGATATACCATGTTCTTGGATTGGAAGAAGGAACATTGTGAAAATGACTACACTACCCTAAATAATCTACTGATTCAATTCAATCCCTATCAAAGCACCACTGGCATTTTTCACAGAACTAGAACAAAAATTTCACAATTTGTATGGAAACACAGAAGACCCTGAATAGCCAAAGAAATCTTGAGAAAGAAAAACGGAACTGGAGGCATCAGGCTCCCTGACTTCAAAGTATAC